GGGGGGGGGGGGGAAAAAAGTGTTTGAAGAGCTCTGACTCCTGGTTTAGGTAGACCCTTGACGATAACATAAATTTAGCCTCCTTACTTAGTCTCGCCGTCCAGGTTACCAACCTCCTCCCATCCTTTCCAAGAACAGTGATGCAACCTGGAGCACAAGGTCCAGAAGAGGAGGAGTGCAGCTTAGCAAGTGTGGGAGCCCAGAGAATATGGTAAGTTTCAGAATTTGACACGGTTCTTATAGTTTCTGTGGCTTCTACTACGTCATAACGTAGTCAGGTTGGAGGGGGAACATGATGGAGAATGTGTTACTTACAACTTGAAGGCCACCAAATAATATAGTCGTCAGTTAGACTGAATGTGTGGATTTTAGAGTATTTGAAAAATGAGGCCTAAACAGAATTCTCAGCTTAATACTAATTATAGCTTGGAAAGTAATACTTCATAATAATGCAAGCTTTAAAAATTTAGAAGCAAGATCCAAGTTTACCATGTGCCTAACTTGCGATTCAGAGTCTACTCTACAGAACGTTTCCGTGTCAAAAATCCTACAACATCTATCCAGACTTTTGCTCAAAGGTTTAAATAAGAGCAATGTGAATAGTTTAAGAACACATTATGCAGCTCAGAAATCAAGACACTGGAATTTCTTTTAGCTGCACAAAACACTGGCTCAATTGATGAACTGCAAGCTGGGTCAACAAATTAGGTACATATTTTTTTAAAATCAAATATCAGGGGAAAGCTACACACTTTTACTGTGACCACTCAAGGTACATGAAAGATTTCTTCAGACAGTGATAAATGCTAGAATAAATGAATTCTGCCGGAAAGGCAATGCATATTAAGTGATATTTGAACATTAATGTTAAATGTAAAGCCCGATTCCAAATATACTGCATTCCAACAGCAAATTTCTAATTTTTGCATGTCACAACATGGAACACAAATGGGATCCTTTACGGGGAGAAGAGAAAAATCAAACTGTAAACTGAAGACTTTGAAACAGCAAAATATGTTTTTTTTCAAACTGTCTACTTTCATTCTTACTACAACATTCAGGATAAGAGATGCAACTCACTTCACAGAAATTTATTTTTGCCTGCATTAGCATGATGGTAATATTTATATTAGAAAGTTGTAAAGAAATTCTCTTCGTATTAAAGAAATCATATTTCCATTAGAATCGAACATAAATTTAAGAAATACGTTCTCGCTGTTCTTAAGTTTCATAGAAGCCAGAAATTTTCAAACTTTCTCAAGGTCACAGAACATATTCATATCACTTCTACCCAGAACTGCTAGCCCTGGCTCCAGGCCACCTGAGCTGATGTGGAGCCAGGCAACCCAGTCTAGCAATGGCAGCACACCACCTGCTATCCCATGCTGCCATTACCCACAATCTCTGTTGAACCCCAAATGGCCTATTACGGAACTCCAGGGTTCTGTGTAACAGTCTGAAAACCACTGGTAAGAGCCAATTCTTACAAAACAAGTCTGTACCTCAGTTCTCCTGATAAGTTATCTTTAAAAGAGCTCTCAAAAGGAAAGGGATACATGTGTAAAATACATACCTGCTATAATGTTCCCAGACTGTGCAACAACTTTGAACCCATCCGCTACTTTATCTACACTATCTCCATGTGTTAAGAGCACAATTTCCTCCTTCTGAAGTCCCCTAAAAATAAGGGTAAAATCAGAATCAGGGTAAAACATAGATAAGTATTTGTATAATCCACAGAGAATACAGAGTATGTGAAGAATATTATCAGAATTGAAGAATGGGTAGTTCCTAAATCAGTACGAGAAAAATCAATATTTAGCTACCTATAGTTAGGGCCTGGTTTAAATTGTGGGCCCAGCTCTTGGCTCAACATCTCCTTTAATCTTCAAGTCCTGTCCTGCCCCTCCCTGAAACTGAGTGGTGGAGGGGCCCCATCAGCTTACTCCTGACGGGCAGGAGGCAAAAACTGCAGTTTTAAATATGCCAGTGTTTGCCTCCCACTGCTTGCTGCTGACCAGACGGAGGCAAAAACCGCAGCATATTTAAAACCACGTTTTTTACCTTCCAGCCACCAGGAATAAGCAGCGAGGCCAACAGGACCCCTCTGCCAACCATCAGCGTGAGGGATGCCAAGATTAAAAAGGAGCTGCTGCACCGTAAGATGGGCCTGAGATTTAATCCAAGCCCTACCTATAGCAGTGCTCTACCAAAATGTATATCCAATAATGCAAATAATAGATTTTATTCTTCAGAAAGGTGAGCACAAATACTTTGACAGCTGCTCTAAGTCTCAAAGATCTCTTCCACTAAAACACTGAAGCACATGCTTCCTTCCCAGCACTAGTCACCTGCTTAATTATGAGATGCTTTTTGGAGTCGGCCTGAACTCTCCTTCAACTGGTCTCTTATGCAAAATGAACAACCTCTCCAGAGTTCTCAAGTCAGCTGCTGGTTAAGAAAAATGCAAATGGTTCCTCTGATCTTAGTACAGCAAAGCCCAGCTTGCTGAAGTTTATTAAGCTAGGAGAAATAAAAAGAACCATGCTTCCTACTTAAAAATGACAGAGCTTCGTTAGGCCTAAATATAAGAAAGTTCGCAAGGACGACCTCGTCCTAATGGTCTTTAAACCTTTGAGGATAGAGTACAAAATTCTAACACGTATCTGGAAAATAAAAACTAAAAATCAGAAGAACTGGGACCTTGTAGGTATGGTAAGCTGACCATACTATAGCAAGGCACTCAAATGGAGTTATTGCGACAACAAACAGAACAAAAAAATTGGTCTTACAGACTATTCAAAAGCATGCATAAAGGAAAAGGAGAGAAGACTTCATTAACGTTCTCAGTTTTTCCCTAGTTTCCAGGAGCTTGGACACCAGTGGGTGCTAGGCAACACAAAAAAAACCCATTGCACAACAGAATGATGAAACAATTATAGACCTTTTTAATGCAAAGATCCCCAGACTGGTTTTTAAAGTAAAGAGGAGAAAAGAAATAGTTTAGAGTCTACAGGTACAAAGCTCTCCCAAATCACATACATAGGAGGTGAAAAGCCAAAGTTTTGGCTGCATTCTTTATAGGAAGTGTGAGCAAAAAGTTATTTTAAAGACAGAAAATATAGGAGTCCATTTAAAATAGAGGTCAGAGTTCTGTAGACTTGCTCACATGTACAACTCTAAAGTTAGGCAACTGCAGGTTTAAATATGCAGCTGCCCAATTTACATGTACAACTGCAATATCTGTATGAAGTGTAGTAATCATTCATGAATGTAGGAGGAACTAGTTTCTCCTCTTAAAAATTTAGCTTCTGTCTACAAGTGGCACTATCATCAGCTTTCACTTTTTGAAATGGTATTTAAATACATGCATACCTGAACAGTGAGCACGTGTTATCAAGAGTAATGCTGAACACTCCATCTTCTCGAACATTTTTTTTATGCACTGTACCTCCAAATACTTTATTCATCATCTGTCAAAACAGAAACATTGTTACATCAAATAAGTTCCTCCCATGCAAGATCATTTTCACGCTATATTTGTCTCACTGTCCCTAAATTGTAACTGTATATTCTAAGTTAAATCTATTGGCAATGACAACTAACTTCTGGCCACTGATATCCCCTCAAGACCAGGCTAATGCTCATCATTGTTATTTTAGTAATGCAATGCTTCCACCAAGTCAGTTATCCCATCATTCTTACTATAAAGATAATTTATTTTCTATCAGCCTCCTCTTGGCACAGCTGGAAACAATTCCTATCCTTACCATATTTTACAACAGAAGATTCTCCTCCTGCCCCAAAAAAGTATAAAATTGTGAAATACGTTTTTAACAATGTATTTAACAATATAGATTTTCATTACAAATTATTTCATTTGTTTATTATGCAGTGTCTACATACAAGACAAACCTTAAGCTCCCTTCTTCAGGAAAAAGTATGCTTTAAGCACCAAAAAACAGAGTAACTGGTAAATAAATCATGGCTTTGACAGGAAACATCAGGGTACATATTAACAAAGTTAGACATATTCAATTAGTATGAAAATCAGATAACCAAGTAGATGGTCATATAAGTGACCAAAGGCTTATGAAAAACCTGGACCTGCCTACTTATGGGTATGAACAAGCCTTTGAAATCTAATACTTTCCTGATTGACATTATAAGATAACTGATTGAAGATACGTTAATTTCCTTAAAAACTGTGGTTCATGACCACTACACAAAGTCATCTAATGATTCTAAAAATTAGTGGAATTAGTGATTTTTAGAACTCCATTCCAAATAGATCAAGTATTTTCATCTTGGATTTCAGGCTTCCAAATACAAAGCCTTCCCCCCTCAGAAGCACATACAAAAATTCTACCAGTGATTTATGTTTTCCCTTCCTAGTACTTTGAACTTTACTGTATGTATCCCATCATAAACAGTTTTACAATTTAAGAAGTAATTTTAGTTTAGCATTACATATACTGTATTTACTGATTTTATTATTATAAAAATGTAAGTACAGTAAAAGCTTTTATCTAGCACCCCCCAATCATTCCCCATGGGTGCCAGATGACAAAATATGCCGGTTAATTGAGCAGCCCAAAGAGGTGTCTTGGCCTGTTTGGGCGGCTGCTTCTCCTGCCGTGTTCGGGGCATCAACATCCCTCCCACCGGCCCCGCACACCTTGCTATGCCTCGGGCCATGAGGACTCGGAGAAACCGGAAAAGCCACGCAGGGCACTTCTGGTTTCACTTTACCTTATAAGCCAGCATGCTGGTTAATAGAACATGACAGCTTGTAAGGTGCCGGTTAACAGAGCTTTTACTGTAGTTTGTTTATATATGCACAAAGGTTTTCTTCTTTGCAAAGTCCATCTTACAGAAGTCCCCTGAAGGCAGCCTTCTACCAGATATTCACTTGGATCCGAGTCACACTGTAGGACACTGATTTGCTACCACAACACACATTTTATTTTTATTTTTTTAAAGAAGGATTCCCAAATTTTTGTTAGGTAAACTAACACTTTTTTATAGAGACCTTCTTCACTGGTCAGTATCTATAAATGCCAGAGTAAAACTCTAAAGAATGCACCAATAGACATTGGGCACCCAGCTATGTACACCTCGTGCATTTTAAATCCTCTGCATGGAAAATGTTAATAGTTTACTGTTTCAAGGCAACTAAGTAATCAAAAGAAAACCAGAGCAAACACAAAGATGCTCCTGAAAACTATTTAAGAGTTCTAAGTTTGAAAATCAGGAGTACTACATAAATAAGGATGCTAGTCTATTCGTGCTTAGAAAAGGCACGTTCCCCGATAGCAGCTAAACAGTAGTAGTGTCAGATCTACAGGACCTCCCCTTCTCATCATAAATGTAAAATAGTGTTCAAAGTCAGCAAAGGTGTAAAAGGGAAAGAGCAAATATTTCTTGTACTGTTTGCATGGCAGAGCCAATGAAAGGGTTAATGCATTTTCTTTACAGATGCTAGGGCTGTGCAAAGCTTCAGTCACTGATTTGTTCTGGCCCGATTCCATGGCCAAATCTCTGAACTCAAATTGAAATCAGGAGACCCTTTAAATCTCTCCGAATTGAATTGGAACCCTCCGAATCGATTCGGACAGACACAGCTTTAAATGTTTTTTCTACATACCTTAAGGTAACAGGCACCTTGTGGATGCTCCATCCATCCCACCATCTCAGCATTCACAGGAACATTGGGGGGGGGGGAGGGGCAGCGGCCAGCTCACTCAACAGCAGATCCAGAAGTGGACCAGAAGCACTTCTGGTCCACCAGGGAGCAAACTGGGGGCCCCTCTGGCCTGGCAACTGCTGCCTCCTGGATCTGGAGGGACACCCGGCATCTCCCCGCAGCTGATCGCCGAGCTGGGGGAAATACGGGCCCCCCCCCCAGCACGCTCAGCATCAGACCCGGAATTATTTCTGATCCACTTCCAGGTGCACTGCCGAGCATGCGGGGGCCCCCTGTGCGAATGCTGTGATGGTGGGGTGGATAGAGCATTCGCAAGCCACGCCTGGTACCTCAAAGTGTATAGAAAAAAAAAATTTGAAACAGGGTCTATGGCCAAATCACCAGTTCTCTAAATAAGCATTGAATCTTCAGATTCGGATTCAGCTGAATCAAATAGGGACTGTGATCTGAATCAAATATGGCTCATTTCCCACACCCCTAACAGATACCATATAAATTTTAGAAACTGTGTTGTTGTATGTAAGGTTTATTAACAGGTTTAATTGCATTTAAGCCATCTAAGAAAGCACAACTTTTTTCTAGAATCATAGAAAATTAGGGTTGGAAGGGACCTCAGGAAGCCATCCAGTCCAACCCCCTGCTCCAAAGCAGGATCATCCCTAAGTATCTCATTCCCAGCCAAGGCTTTGTCTAGC